AAACCTAGCTCCCGGGTATGAGTCATTCCTACGTATGGGCCTGCGAAAGTTTAGTGGATATTTGTTTAGACAGATACAGGACGTCCTCAAGAGCGGTAACGCTGGCCCTGATATCGCCGATCTCAAGCTGTCTGTAATGGAATTCCGTTATATGCACAAGCACCCAAATGCAGCGCTTTGTCTAATAATTCGCGCACCGGAGAAAAGCTCCAGGCAGTCTGCTGAGGACGAAGTTTTAAGTTATATTTATTCAGGTACTAACAAAGTTGAGTCTAAAATCCAAAAAATTCCCTTGAACTCAAATCAACATGGCTATACATCAATTTGAACGCAAAGTAATCTACGCTGATTTAATAATCAGCGGCGTTTCAAGACTCTGTAGACCGTGAAAAAAGAGGCTAGACTTATTTCCCATAATGACATGATCGTAGCTACTCTTTTATTACCATTATTTATGACTAAATTGATAGTTATTATGACTATGATGATTACAAATGATGATAATTAAAAAAAAAGTTATAACGATATTACAAATTTAAAAGAAATGATTGTAAAAAAACAAGGTAATATTCGGCCACTTCCTTCTATTGATTTATTTTTCTATTTTACACTTAAAAAAATGATGATCTTCTTCCCCCAATTTATCCTTTTAAACTTTTTTCACTTGTAATTTCTCTTTTTATTATTAATCCGAAACTCATATTTTACAGTTCTGTAAACTGAGAGATGTTTCGTCATAACTTTACGCGTCATTTTCATATCTATGCCTCAAAGTGAAAACCATATTCAACAAGGGTAAATTTACCCAACCAGCTGTTACGCCTTACCTCATTGCTTGTGATCCTAATCTTTTCTCGGACTGAAAAATAATTTAAAAAAAGAACTTCCAACATATCAATTCATCAATTATACTGGTACCACCAGCACAAAAAATTCTGCTATATCCCATTTTAAATATATTCCATTTACGCTTTAGAAGAAAAACTATTCAGCAAAGGTAAACTCAACAGATAACACTTGTCATTAATATACATAGCAGTCCTAGTTATAATGGTTGCTAATCAAACCACAGCTCATCACAATATGCGCTTTTGCATTTGCATACATACAAAAATGCACAAAAATAAAATCACTGTTCGGCCAACACGCTGTTTGTTTGCCTGCTCCCGTTGTTTACTTGTTTGTTTGTTTACCGATCCTTGTGATGGTGCTGTGATGAGAGCTTTTTTCATAACTTTCCCCTGCCTTTACCCCAAAAGTTTGTTGTTGCTGAGGTATTTTTTTGCCTCGAATAAAAGAAATATTCGTTCACGAACAAGTGATATTATCTGTGGGTATGTCCCGCAGAATCGGAGAACCTAGCGGTGGCTATACCGGGCAGGAGCACTACTAATTTTGGGATAACCACACTGCTGGTACCGCAAGTCTTACTCTTGCTCTTATCCCATCTAATCCCACTTTTACATCGTTTTCCCTTCTGCACTGCTGTAATGAGGAGGGAGAAGGGCGGCTATATACCTAGGGCTGCGGGAAGCGCACACCAAAACTAATAAACAATCTTTTATTGGTGAAGTGCAAAACCAAAAAAATCAGAAAAACAAACCGCGAAATATTCGGCAGCAGCTCCAAGATGCTACCGCACAATTCTTTGGTGCCACAAAACAATCATTTCATTTCTAATCACCACATTAAATATCACGAAGGGGGAAACAGGAGTCAGGAGAGGGGACATTTACATATCACAAGGAAATGAAGGGCAACTGGGCAACGCGAAGGGGTTTAGCCACTAACTTCGTTTTCTTGTTGCTAGCACCTTCTTCCTTTTGCAACACTGCGACTGTCATACGGATGAGGTCCTGTCACGGTGTTAAGGGCGTATATGACTTAATGGATCGAAACGTCTTATCTCACTCTTACCATCTTCTTTCATACTATTCTATTCTATCGCGCCTTTGCCATTTTAGACTTCCAAGGTCAACCTGGCTGCTACCATCGGCTTACAATGTAGAACAATATGCCATACGTTGCGCTAATCCACTAACTCGAATGTTTGGAGTAGTAGTAGGGATGCTGAAAGTACAAGGTTGCCAGATTCCTGTGAATTAACAGTTTTTTTTTAGGCATCCCAAATACCATTCAACAAATCGCTAGGTATGCAATATCTTTTATCAGCGAAACTTATTTAAAAGCACTGTTGCATTATAAATTTTATTATGCAAATTATTCATATATTGTACAAATACACGTCAATTTTTTTTTTAAAATCAAAAACCGGTAACTAGTATCACAGATAAAAGAAAAAGAAAAAAACCATTAAAATGATTATTTGGGATAAAAGTTCACATGTTGTTTCGCATGATCCCGGATTATTTGTGCTGGTGCAAATTGCTCCGAGGAATATGCTTCAGCGTAGCCGGACATATCGCGGACAAGTTTATCGGCCCCGTATAAATCGATGAACCGGAATGGACCACCCCAGAACGGCGGAAAACCAATGCCAAACACCGAAGCTGTATCACCATCCAACTGCAAAAAAAAACCTCTTAGATATGAATCAGTGGTGAATTGGTATCAGGCTCAATTTCAAGTTTTGCATATCTATATTTCGAAACTTGGATCAGCTGTAAATTCATTGTCCAACTCTTAGGTTGTATGCAGTTGCTTTGACCAATGCTGCATCGCCTGCTGATCAAGATGCTGGCGATCCTGACGTTCGTTTCATCGTCTAAAGAAGGGCCATAGAAGCCCAAACCAAAATAGGATGTTCCAATCAGGGTCGACGGGGAGGCCCATATTCTGCAGTCGTTGGTAGGCTGAAGCATACCTTCCCAAATAACGGACTGTACACAAACCAGAGGAAATCCAGCACGGCCGAATTCCATAAGTTTTAAGGCTGGAAGAGTGGAATTTGGCAGTGAATCGTGGTGAGGAAGACAGTTGGCTAGAAAATGTGGTACAATCCTCTAGACATGTTGAATAGTCATATAACTCAATGGTTCCTCTGACTGGCGCAGCTGATCGACAAGAAGAATGGGGACTTACACATACAGTTGTTGAATATCGCTGAGATTAACGAACTAAAAGCGGGCTAAAAACTTCCATGTCATTCGTGCAGCAAATATAAATCTAAATTATTTCGTTACCACAATCGTCGTACTGACGACGAGGTCCAATTGTGGTAACGGTAAGAAATGTATACGACTTAATGGACCGAAATATTTCTTACTTATAACAAATATTTCCTTAGCCTCCTTCCCCCTCTTCGCTTTTTCTTCGTTTTCTTCCCTTCTCCATCATTTCTGCTTCATTATTTTCTCTTAAACCTTTAAAAAATCACTCGACTAATCCCATTTATAGCATTTCGTTTCCTCAGAATTTATTTATTACAATTCAGGATGAATGGAAAAGCGCTCGGAAAAAGAGGGGGAAAAAGCATACCGGTGATGAAATAACTCCTTCTTCGAGACAAAGAGCAGCTTCATTTACATAACGGCATAAAATTCGAAGTTGACGATCAGCCGTACTGCTCCTGTAAACGGAAATCACTCTTGCTCCGCTTGAATTTTGATCCCGGAGGTGCTGATAATTTTATCAAACAAAAAATTTTCATTATCACAAAAAAAGTAAAATTTTTTTGAAATAACAAAAATTTTTGACTAATTAAGGGAATTTTTTTTGTAGCAAACACACACAAACAATCAGTGACTTTAGTTTTGACACTTTTTGCCTCAAACTTTTCCCCAAATTAGCCACTTTCTTAAAATAGTATCTCTTTATTAACAAAAAAAAAATCAAAAAAAAAGTTATTTTTATAACTCATTTGCCTAAATATAACAATTTATGATTGTTTTTGCAACCAATTATTACGTCACTTGTTCAGCGTAATTTCACATTTTTTAAATTTTTCTAATGTTTTTTTGAGGCAAAT